TGAGTTACTCTAACGAAATAGTAATAGTAAACAGTTACACAGAAACAAAAAAATTACATGTAACTTTTTGTCAAACTAATATAAATACTAATCCAGTTGTAGAACAGGAACTGTTATTGAAGTTGATGTAGATCAAGACTAGTGTTTGACACTATGTCCTTAAAACAGATTTCACCTCACACACGGTGCTTATGAAATACCGAGTGTCTGCATATTAGGATACAATGATCTTTACACAAGCAGAAGTAGTACTTCAATCTACTCGTCCAGCAAACCAAAATTTGTGTTGTGTACTCTCCAAGACACTATGCAGACTGTAATGCACTACTGTTTGCCTTAATGTCGAAAATGGACTAAACAAATGAATTGATGCAAAATGGAAATGAGCTTGGGTATTTATAGACAGTTTGGTGACTTTCGGACAGCCACTATACTAAAAAACACAACCCAAGAAGACAAATGCCAACCAGTAAACACCACTTGTAACTGTTTTCTATGAACAGCCACAACTCAATTTCGAACTGGAGGGAAACAACACATCCGAACCAGTGTGATCCAACGGATACCAAAAATTAAATTTCAGTTTAGAAATTCTCTTCCAATTAATTAATTAAATTTTCTCCAAAAAGATAGGGTTTGGTCTAAATCACACCCGTACCCGAGCCCGACCGGGTCGAGTCGTGGTGAGGTGGGCAAGAGGGCGGCGCCCGCGTGTGTGTGGTTGAACCGAAGACATGTAGGTGCTCGATCTGCTTATAAAATTGTGGTATCCTTTGGGGCCCAATCCCATAGAGCAAACTTGACCTATATATGCCAATGTTGAATTTCTTTCTCAACCAATATAAGATTCGTGTCAAATTTCACATTTCATAACCTTTATTTTCACATCTCAAGAATGTCATTTTAGAATATTTTTTCTCATTCATTTCTTACTCGATTTGAGTAAATGAATATACTAAATTATCCTCCTCACGGAGTAGAATATGAACCCATAAAATTTTATTCAAAATAACAATCAAGTCCCACTTTAATTTAAGTTCAAAGTTGACCACAAATTTAATTTTTTACACTTAAAAATCTGTTTTGGTCCAACATATGATAATTTGATTATAACCAAATACTATATTTTTTTTATGATGTTTTCCAACTCTAAAAGAGAAGTTTGATCAAAGTGACACATATCAATACTATTCACTCTTCCACCGGTACACACTTTTTTTTTCGGAAGTAAAGTGTATTAAAAAAAATAGAAATACAAAGGGTAATCACCCACACATTGTATAATGATGTCACATAGGACTTAAAGACAAATATAAAAAAACTAAAAAGGCCAAGACATAAAGCACAATTCTGTAAGAGATGACTTAGTTAAGAGTTTCTCCCACATAATTGTTAACATGAGTACATTGGTACACATAAATAGAGCATGACAGCCAGCCAGCAACCATGACGGCCAACATAGAACAAAGCAAATCAACCAAACAAAAACAGCACCAGGAAGCCATTTGCACCAATAAAATCAGCACAACACACCACAGCAAGCCAACAACCATGACGGCCAGCAAAGACAGCACCAGGAAGCCATTTGCACCAAAAATTAGCACTAGCATGTCATTTGCAGAGTAGAACAGCCCAGCAAGTAGTGAGGCTAAAGAGACAACACAGCCAACAAAGGCTTCCCCCCCTCCCCCCCAACCTCATCCCAGGGCAAAAGCAAAACATATAAACACTTAGACCAGGCAACAGAGGGGAGGAGCAGCTTTGCGTCCACCACGTGGGTGATGAGAGGATCAAATGGAGTACCAGATAACTTATACCCTTATGCAGGAACTAGGCAGCTGCCATATATGAAATAACCGCATGTTCAACTAAGAGGTTCTGAACTTGGTCGAAGACATTCTGTCCCTAACTGTCTGCACAATGATGTTTAGCAAGGACTTGCAATCTCTCACTTTGTTTTGATGAATTCTATTATTTCGTTCCCTCCATATATAAAACACATTCACTGCCAAACACAGTCTTCTCAACACACTCACCATGGATTTGCCCTTCCAATTTTGGATCACATGACTTACCAGATGTTGCAAAGAGTTAAGTTGTCCCTGCTCACTAGTGAGCTAAAGCAGATTTCTCCATATGCTCCTTGAGTAATGGCATTCAAAAAATAAATGAGAATGGGTCTCGTCCATCCCTACATTGTTTGCATAAACTTGCATTCCATCCTTAGTGCAAAGCCTCGTTCTAATGGCTAGCCAAAGAATAAAGCTCATCCTAGGAATAGCATGGCTATACCACACCAAATGAATCCAAGGCACTTTAGGAGAATGAACTCTCACTAGATCCCAGACAGAGATTGAGGAGAAAGTGTCGTTTGGGGCAGGAATCCAATTAACAACATCCCATCTTTGTTGACATGGTTGGTAAATGGATATTCTCTCTCTCTCTCTCTCTCTCATTCATTATTCCCGTTGGTCCGAGTTTGTCTTCGCCACCAGTACACACTTTATCACCACAAACATCAAATTTTCCATTGTGATGCATTCTAATCGTAAAATATCCAGAATCATCATTTACATACAAAAAAATTAAAAAAGCAAAAAGAAAAAGCCTCCAAACAGAAAAAAGCCTAGAAATAATGTTTCTCTTTACATTATTTGTTCAATCCTAGGCTTGTATCACGTTCTCTTGTAATACCTTTTCTTTTTTGAAAATAAAAATATTTATTTACCCAAAAAACTACTGTTTCCACCAATTAATTGTTCATCTTTCCTAAATTTTTATTGGATAATTAATTATCTCTAATAACCTATCATGGAAAATTGGACGAGCAATGCTATGTGCACGAAAAATATGCATCAAAACTTGCGTCAAATCATTTACAGTCATTGGATCAGTAGGTCTCATCACTGATCCAACGATTATAGTTGATTTGGAACAAGTTTTGATGCACATAGAATTATCTAAATTGGACTCTACATGCGCATAGAGTAAATTACACTTTAACTTCCTTAATTATATTTTTTTTCATATTGCCTCCTCAATTATCATGTTTTTCATATTGCATGCTTAACCATGAGACTAGTTTCACATCACCTAATTATTAACATCAGTTATAAATTTGACAAAAAATTGTTTCATTATTTCTCCTGAACTATATGATTTTTTTTTCCATTTTGCATTGGCATGTTGAAAATTTCAGTCCAATATATGATAACTAACGTCTGTGTTTGGCGTAATATGAATTAATTTAATTAATTGAAGGGACAATGTAAAAATTTAATAGATCAAAAAATAAAATAAAATCGAGTCCACAGTTAAGACAGCCAAATTATAATTAGTCCTAGCGTGTATTAGTGTTGACATGACATCGTATCTCTGTGACACACAAACGAAGAAGTTGAACGTGATGCTCCATTGTGAAACTCCTGCTTCATGCAAAAAAGGTTAATCACCGTCATTGTTGTATTCAATTCTGTTTATTTCAGGTCAAAATAAAGGAAGAAGGTTGCGTTAAATAATCAACAACTAACGTAAAATTTTGTTAGATCCACCACGACGAGTCCAAATAATGACATGCTCTTATATATATTTTGTTTTTTCTTCATCTTTGAATTTTGATTATTTATTTATTTTTTTTAAGAGAGGGGGAGGGTAAAGGAAATTAGGTTAGAAGTTGGAACCGCAATCACTTGTAGACGGGATTGAGCCTTTACTGCTGGGTCACTCCCTCACCTCAAATTTTTGATAATAATATTCCAAAAACCATTAAAGTAAATAAATGCAGAGGTAAGATTTCTGAAGAGCAACCACCTCCCTTCCCAAACTGTCATGAGGTCTCAGGATCTAATGGTTTGAACCACTGTACTTAAGGAAGTGTATGCAGTAGTAATGTTTCCACAGAAAGCAAACTAAACCATACGTGGCTGCAATATAGTGGTACTTTTAATCTCTTTCACTACGATTTTATTATATCTACCACCACCGCTACCCCTTATTGTCACCCCTCATCCCCACCCCACCCCAATTCTAGTATTTTTGGAAAATTCTTCATTATTGTTCTAAATTAAGGAGAGGATGAAAAAAATAAAATTAAAAGTCAAACATGGAATGATTTAAATGGATGAGATTAATGTATTCGTATTAAATAATCCAAAATTAAAAATTCTAGTACTTGATGAAGCAGGTTTCATAAGCACTCTCTCTTCTGAATTTTTTTTTTGGGGTTAATCTCTCATCAATTTATTGCTACAATATTGTTGTAATTATAGATTTAAAAAAAAAAATAATAATAATTATAGATTTAGAGGAGAAAAAATGTGTGTGTGAGATAGAGAGATGGAAAAGGGACAAATGGTGGGAGAGAAACTTGGGATAGATATTGGTGGAGAGAAACTTAGAACAGTTGAGAACTTTTATGAGTTATACTAGTAACGAAGAATTAATTTATTAAAAATTAAGGGTCAATGATATAATGTCAAATCAAATTTAACAATTTTAAAAATAAAAAATGTAAGAAAATTGGGATGAGGATATTGATAGAGACATATACTTGGTTTGTGGCTACGTCCACCGACTAATTGCCGAACAGACTACATCAATATTATTATTGAAGGTGGTAAATTCCATTGAACTCAACACTTTTTATAGGATGAAAATTATGTAAAATAAAAATAAATACCACATATTTCTATAATCATCTGTACTTTTCCAAATAATCTAGCCATTGATACGTCTTTTTAGATTCTGTCATATCTCTATCTAAATATTGATAAATTGCTTATGATCATATCATAATTCTAATAGTAAGATTCCTATGGTGACCTAATAGAAACAGATCTCAGCCCTATTATGGTGATGGATATCTAAAAATCCTATCATGTGATTTGGGGACCAAATGTCCAACAGGCTACATCAATATTATTATTATCCAGTTCAAAAAAATTACAAAGGACTTAACCTTTTTTATAGTGTGAGAATTACATAAGATAAAATAAAATCATCACATATTTCTATTGTCATTTGTGTTTTTCCAAACAATTTAGATATCGATGGATCATTTTAGATCCTATCGTATATCTACCTGGATAATGATGAATTTCTTCGAATCCTATCACATTATTCTATCAGATTTCTAATAATAAGATTCTTACGGTTAATCTAATATAAATAGATTGGGTAGCAAAAAAAAACAAAAACAAACATGACTATTTGTAGCAGCTTTTCAGACAAATACTTGGAAGATCTCACTCCTATGCTCTTTTGAAATGCATGATCAGATCTCAAGTGCTCAGCCTCCATGAACACTGTTGCTATCTATATTCACTTAGTGTTGCTTTGGTAGGTTGCATTGTACTTGTGTGCTTTGATGAAGAAGGAGATAATGAAAGAGAAAGCATGGTGTTGATTTCTGGAGTCTTCTCATCATGTTTCCCTAAACTTTGGCTCAATCCTAGCTGTAAATCAGGCAACCATTCTTTATGCTTCAGCTTTCTCTTCTGGTTCAACTGCATATCAGAAATTAACAAACATATATTCCAAAATAAGAGAGAAACAAGGTTGGGTTGATCCCTTATGTATCTGCAAAAGTAAAGGAAATAGTGTCTGTATATGCACCAAATTTAGGGTTGCGAGTGAGCCGAGTTGTTCATGAACAGCTCGGGTTCGGCTTGAATAGAATCTTGTTTAAATTCATTCATTAATAAATGAACTGATCTCGATGCCAATTTTAAAACTTGTTTAATAAACAAGTAGAGCCGAAACAATGCAAAATGTTATATATCATATGCATTATATATTTTGCATAACTATGTTCAAGCGTAAACAAGTTAAATTGATTTTGAACACGACTATGAACCTAAGTATAAACTTGGACACAAAGTTTATACTTGAGTCCGAGTCTGGATGACAAACTTCATATTAAAGGGATCCAAAGCCATATGGAAATATTGTCTTTATATGAAATAAATTACCTCAAACCGAAATGGTGTTTCAAAATCTGTCTTTATAAGTGTTGTACCGTTTTGATGCATGGGAGGTTGAGAGATAGTACTGGCCTGAATGTTATCAGTGACAATCCTTTTTGCTTTCCATTGATTTCCAATACTTTCGCGTGGAGGCCACTTCTTATCTTCCAGAAATTGGCTTCCTCTCAAGGATCCATTTCGAGTTCTTACATCCATGACATCGATTCGGTTCAAGGTAGATGACTTGTCTTGAGTTTGAAACATCGTTTTGTTGATCAAATTGTTGGCTTGAGTTATGTCGTTGCTAATCAAAGGACTTGCTCTACTCATGCCATGCTTACTTGAAAACAATAATTGCTGCCTGGACAGAGATAGAAAGAGAGGGGGGGGGGGGGGGGGGGGAAAAAAAGGGAAAAAAAA